CCTTCCTGAGGTTCTCCGGACTCTCCTCCCCCATACTCTATATAGGCCATATATCGAGGCGACTGCTAAGACGGCTGTTGCGACTCCTCCTAGGGCTGTTCCAATCACAGACCCGACTCCGGCTGCGTGAACCTCTGACCCCCCTCCCCCTAGAGCCCCTGCCGTACCTGCCCCGTCCGCCCCCGTTGAGGTCGGCTGCCCTGGGGTTTGGGAGTCCTTTGGGGTCAGGGAGTCTGTTTCGGAGGAATTGGATGAGCCGCTTCCCCTTTCACTGCCTTGTTCCACTTCTCCTGCCTGAGCTACCCCGGTTGAGGGATCTGTTGCTTTATTTCTCTCAGGGGCACCGGTACCCGCTGTCCCTATTCCCTGCCTCCCGGTGGTCCCTTCACTTAAATCCCCGCTTGTACGGCTCCCCTCAATATCCGATGTGGAGACTCGTTCTAGTTCTTGGTCTGTTGTGGTTCTGGCTGCTGGACCCCTAATTGCCTCCGAGACGTTACTGGTTTCTCCAGCTGTCCTCTTCCCCTTCACTCCTGACGCCACTCCAGCTTTATGTGCATTCGATTCAGCGAGCTGGCTTCTGACGCTCTTCCTTGCTTTGTCTTTTTGTTCTTTGGCCCTTAGTGCCTCTGTATTGAGCTTGTTCTGCAAATATACTCCTAATGCACCGCCTGTTAACGTGATCCTTGCATCTTGACTTCCCTTGATTGATTTTATACAGCAACTCGATTTGGTAGGTATTTCATACTGTCCAACTAGTGATTTGTCCTCTTCTTCCTTGCTTAACCACCCACTTATGTCATAAGGCCCACAGTCCGGACAAACTTTGTGTAGAGCTTCAATGACCGTCAGAATCAGAGATAATGCGGCCGCTCCACATGAAGCTGTATCAACGCTGTTTCCTTGTCCACAAGTATGCCACCCCTCGGTCCCGAAACCTGTCCCTACCTTGATGAGGCTCCTCCATACCTCCCTTGGGACTTCTAATCTGTTATTGACCTCCTAACAGAGGTTCCGGTATGTTGAACTGTTCCTTAAATCTTGGGACACATTATGCTGCAATCCAAAGACTATACAGAAGAGGATTCCTAAAATCTTCTGGCCCCAATTATTGTCCTGCCACGATTGGTTGCCTACGTTATGACTCAGGCCGGCCCAATCCTCTATTGCCCAAAAGAGAGAACTCTTCCCCTTTATGTTGTTACGGGAGGGAGCCCTCTCTACTGCTCCTCTAAGGAGACCATCGATTAACTCTGACCACTTGACCGGAATTCCGGGGGCTTCTGCGTTCTTTAATCCCACTTCGACATTTCCTGCGCCGAGTGCCTTCCCCCAGATCTCAGTGTCTCCTCCCTCAATTTTACTCAACCATTGACTCAGCCCCGTGGAAGCTGTTGTTCTCACATCCTGTAATTGAGGAAAGCAAAACCTCTCCTGCCTTCCCCTCTGACATGTTCCCTTGCTTGTTGAGATATAGGGGAGATGG